GTTGTCGTTGTCGTTGTAGTTGTCGTTGTCGTTGTCGTTGTCGTTGTCGTTGTCGTTGTTGTTGTTGTTGTTGTTGTTGTTGTTGTTGTTGTTGTTGTTGTTGTTGTTGTTGTTGTTGTTGTTGTTGTTGTTGTTGTTGTTGTTGTTGTTGTTGTTGTTGTTGTTGTCGTTGTCGTTGTCGTTGTCGTTGTCGTTGTCGTTGTCGTTGTTGTTGTTGTTGTTGTTGTTGTTGTTGTTGTTGTTGTTGTTGTTGTTGGTGGTGGTGGTTGTTGTTGTTGTTGTTGTTGTTATTACTATTACTATTACTATTACTATTATTACTAAAGACATGAGTTGCTGTTATGTTGTTTTTGCCCATTGTGATACCAACACGAACTTCCCGGCGCGAAGAAATCGTTTGAAAGGCCATCTAGTATTGCAAAAGTGGTTGCAATGCTCCTTGGGTTGCATAGGGTCAGTCAATATATCCAGAAGTCCATGGTCAATTAGGAGGAGCACTGGAAAACTCCTTGTTTTGCCACAAAAGCCAGGTGTATACATATATATATATATACATGTATATATATATATTATATACACACCACTTTCATTGGTTTTCGGGAAATATTCATAGGTAAGGCCACCCCCTCGCCGCCCCCCGCTCAGATGAGGCTCAGCCACTTACGTTTGCGGAGTTTTCGCAAAGCATCTGATAGTCTAAGGGTTTTTGTATATTTCACACTGGGAATACGCCCACTGGTCATTGACCCCATTTAGGCACATTTCTGCATAAAACCGTGCTATCTTGAACCATTCCGGTTCATGTCCTAAGGGTGTAATCACAGGGTGTAATACAAACACCCTCAGAGATAGAATTTTCTGTGCTTAGTAACGGACTACCAACTCCAAAAGGGCGCAGATCCAGAACCCTTGGCTCACTTTTGCTGAGTTCTTGGACTTGAAACTTGCGGTTTCGACCATTTTCGTTTTGAACAACAAGTTTGGTTACTCTCCCTCCTAACATAGCACCTCCCAGAAGTGCCATGTTAGTGGAAGGGAGGGTGCCCCTTTTGGCCAGGCCACTCGTTCGGAAGTTGGGGCTATGCTTCAGGGGCTGGGGAAAGCGGCAAGCTGTGCAGGAGCAGGAGCTTAGACTGCGACTCCAGGAGGAGCACAAGTTGCAGCAGGCGCCAAATGGGTGCGACCAAGGGGAAAAACCGGCCGAAAGGCTTCATGAGGTCTAAAGGCCGGCAAAAAAAAGCAGGGATTGAGCTGAAGGACCGATTAAGCTGAACCCTTGAATTGGGCCAACGGCCTGAAATGAGAAAGTAGAACAGCCCCAATTAGGAGATCCGTTCAATTTGCCCGGTGATTTGCCCAAGATAGACAATGAGTTAGTAGGGGAAAATTTGCCTCTCGAGTGTCCTGACCGCTCTTGGGGAAAGCTAGAGCAGTTGTTGGTGGAGTCAACCCCGCCGCTTGAGTCACGCGATTTACCCGGCCCAACCTTCAAAATGGGTTCGCTTGTCGTTTGGTTGCCAGAGTTTTTAAGCCATTTTGGTACCAGGCATAGTGAGTTTCCTTTTGGGGGGTGACGTTTTGTTCACAGAATCCGAGACGTGTTAATTCGTGGTTGAATTGCAAGCCTCAGACCTCTTTGAAGAATGAGGTCCCTTGTTTTTTTGTGTTCACAGCGGAGAAAAAAAACACACATATGTACCAGGTGCAGTGCTTACGGGGCCAGAAGAAGCAACGAGGGGCTTGATCTTTGAACAGTCTGAAATTCAAATATGGGTGTGTCTTTTTTGGGGGACCCCCACAATGGTGGTTTTCCTCTTGGTTTCCGATAAACTTCTAAGGGGGCTACCCTCAAACAAGACAGACCCATATGGAGGGCAACAGGGCCGAAACAAGCGATTTCAGGCCCCGTAATCAGGAGATGGCAATAGGCCAAGTGAATGTTCCGGAACTGCTGAGTTAATGCTGAGTAAGTCTTGCTCACGCGTTTGGGCTTTTCATAACCTGCAAAAATGAAGAGACCCCCCCAAAATGGAGTTTATCCTTTTGGCTTCCTAAACCAACCCAGAAGCCAAACAGGTTGATTGCCAGTGTCCGGATGAACCCACGGGCTGGATGAAGCGGATGTTGCCCAAATGGTCCAAGTTCAACCTTCACCCCCCGATCAACATCGGGTTGATTTCAGAACTGGGTTCCTATTGGGGCCAAAGCTAGTCGCCCTTTTGACTGTTTGGTTTCCCTGATTTGGCTTCAAGGTCCCAAAAGGAGATCAGGTCCCTTGGGCAACTGAGATGAGGGCAAAAACCCTTCGCACAGTAGTCAGGATGGGAATTCTATTTTGGCATCAGAAGTGGCAAACCCAAATTCCATCGCATCAAAAACCGTTAGTCTTTTTTGTTTAATGGATGCTTTGGGTATTTTGGCCTCATGTTTTTATGCGTTCCCCTCGTGTTCCCCTCCGTTGGGCTCGAATCGACGGGCAAAACTTGACGCCTTCGATTCGACGATTCGACGTGACGTGATAGGACCGGGAAAGCGAACTACTGTCACAACTAGATGCACTGAAAGGCCGGACATGGGCGAGTTTTTTGCGATCTCGGGACCCCGCGGGGTATCTTACTCTTGGGGTTGCCAAGAGAAACCAAAAAGGACACCACCCTTGGGAAATGTTGACTCCGGATCCCTGCTAGTTTGAAAAACTTACAAGATGGCTTCGGTTGTCGTTTGGGTTTCCAGTTAAAACCGCAAAAACAGAGTGCCAACTCAAGAAAAGACACGCACCAAAAGGAACCCCTTTGATTAAGAAGACACCCCTGGTTGATGAATTAATAGAGGTGCCTCGTTGAGCGGGGATTCAGACCAATTTTGTGGGTTCAGTGACACTCCAAACGTATTAATGGACGGGTTCTACTTAGATCCGGGGTCAACCTAAATTTGCCGAAAGAGCCGGTAACAGAAAGGGTTACCCCCAAAGGTGATTCCTTCAGACATAGATGTGATTATCTATGTTTGATGGGAACAGTGGGCAAAAATATCTGCCTAGGGCGCTCAGGCAAGCACCCAACTAAACCACTAAATCCGCCACTCACATATTCCAGCATCAGCATCGTCTCCAGATGACTAGTTCACGACCTCACCGAAACAAGGGCAACACAGGCGATTCAAAGGACCCTATGAAGGTCCCTTATCCCTGAGTTGAACTCTGCGGGCAGATGCGATGCTTTGATTTGAAGGCATGGTGCTGGGGTCCAATATTGACTGTTTATAAAAGTCAGGAACTGCGGGAGTTTCCCTTCAATCTACCATTTAGGGAGTGACTTTGGTAAAAACATGGGGCCAGTGATGCTGTGAGGTCTGCTTGCCAGGACGCCAAACCCGATCACCTTGGTTGCCATCAAGGATTGGTAGGGGCCCATTGCATGGAAAGCCATGGGGTCATTGCAGCGCGTCAAACTGGCGTTTGATTTGTTTCTTGCCAAGGGCGCGCTCTGCCAGTTCTATTGCATCCCGCAATCACAGGCACTGCCCCCGTTTCTTCACGGTTCTTGGCAAGTTTTAATTGGTGTTTGTTGCTTTTGTTCTGATCGTTTGTAGTAGGGGGCTGCAAAAAAACAAAGTTGTTTGCTACTATACTCAACTGTTTGAACATCTACTTGCAGTTTCGCGTATTCTCTGTCTTTGTGGGTACCCTTTCTCAGTTGCCCAAAGCGAATCGACCCTTTGCCCTTTCGGTCTTCCTATTTTGGTCCACTCTCAGTCATGATGCTAAAAGGGGATCACCCTTTTCTGGACAGAGCTTTAGGACGGAGCGCACCTGGCTTCCAAAGACTTCTTCTCCTGAAGCTCACCCGGCAACTTTTCTGAGGCCGGGGGTTCTCCCCTTAACTCAGATGCCCAGTGGATTTCCCTGCAAAAAAAGATGGCATCCCTTTTTTGGGTTGGTTGAGGTTAAGTGGGGAGCCCTTACCCAAAAGCGGAAAGAAGGGCGCCACTGGGCAAGTAGGGAAATCTTAGCCTTCGGACAGGGCTTTAGGAGTGACCGGACCAAAGTAACAACCATGTGTCCAGGTAGGAGCCGAAGGGGAGCAAAGGAACCACCACGGGCCCCCAGTTCCCCGATTTTTGAGAAGACCCACGCGGCATGTTTTGAGTGACGCGATCTTTCTTCGGAACTTCCAGCCAGGAATTCAGGAGAGCCTTGCAGCGGCCTCAATCTCGCGGCCGGTGGTCTGGCTTCACGTGAGCGCCAACCGATGGGGTTTGGAAGGCCTATCACCAATTATTTTGCCAACTTTTTTTGGCGGCTGCCCCAAAAATGGTCCAAGCCCCAAAAAGGGTTCCCTTTTTTCCCAGGGTCACTGAACAACTGAGCCTAAACCTTCGTAACAACCAATTGAGCCACAATGAAAGCCGGGCGCCTGAAGGCCACAAAAGGGTGCAGATATCCACCCTTGCTTCTTACCCGGGATGGTTCTTGTTCCATTGGACTCAACTTTCTGCTTCTCAGGGAATGAGGGAAGTACCCCTGTAAAGCGTGCAAAGCATGCCCCTATGGTTTCCTTTATTCGGGAATCCCCTTCCGGATCATTCCCAACATCCGGAAGGTCATTCCCTACCGAGCACCAGCAAGTTAAGTAACCTGTTTGGTTTTCGGTTTTTTCATGTTTAGTACGGGGCTGCTGCCATACCAAGGGGTGGAAAGTCAAGGAACCTGCTTGCACTTTCGGGTCTCCTTGTCCTTTTCGACCAAGGGAGTTAGCTTGCAGGATGTTCGATGTTCAGGGTTTGGGCTTTCTCATGGGGAGCAGGGGCTGTTGGGTGAGGGCGTAGGTCTGTATTACAGCAAATGATATTTATTGCTAATGAATAATTATTACTCTTGCTTGTTATCATGGGGGCTCGGGGGAAGCGGGCGGGGGGAGCCCAAACAAGCCCTTACTAAGGCCTTGGTAGGGGCTTAAAGGCTTATTTGGGCTCCCTCCCCCCGCCTCCCTCCCCCCGAGCCCCCATGATGTTTGTAAATCCTTGCCTAGATAAACAGTCGTGTCTCTTCTTCTTTTTTTTGGATACCCCTTTTTTGGAGTTGGTTGACAAAAGGCTAGGTCCGCCAGTCGTGCCCGTTTACCGTTTCTTTTTTGGGGGAGGGTTCCCCTGCTAAAATAGACAAAACCGAAAAAATAGGGTACCCTTATTCTAACCCCTCTGCTAGGGACCTAGATATTAAAAGCCTCTTTTGGACCAACTCTTTGAGGTGGCCCTGCTTCGTCTGTATTTGCATGACTCACTTTTATTGTTACACAGAGTATCTGCATTGAGTATTATTCTATGCCCTGCTCCCCGACTTTTGGCCTCCAGGACAAGCCGAGCACCCATCCGCACCACTCCGCTGCTTTCGAGGCGCTGGACGAGGCCAAGCTTGCGGCGCGAAGAGCGGAGCAGCAGCGCCGAAGAGAGGCGGGTTTGCGCTCGGCCTTTTTTTTGGTGTGTC